GGAAGGAAATCTCATAGGCTTTATTGTCTGTTTAAATCAATTAATTGTTAAAAGAAATTGTTCTCCTCNAGTACTAGTAGAGGACCTATCATCATATATCCACGTTATCCCGAGGCATAGTGGTGAGCTGCCTTTCTGAGCCGTTCTGCAGCTACCAGTGTCTCTTCTGATATTTCTATTCTGTCTATTTTATTTCAGACAATATTTGGAGTTTTGTATAATCTACTAGATGCTCATGCACTTGTGACACCGGGTCTTGGCACACACATTAGTAGAAATTGGTATTTTATTATCTTCTTGGAATAAAAGTTTAACCAATGTATATTTGACTTATTAGTTGGCTTGCCTAGCTGTAGTGTTGGGCGCCATCACGACCTATAGGCGAAATTGGGTCGTGACAGAAATATTAATAACTAAGTTTGTTAATACTTTTATCACCGCCAATACCAATTGTTTTACCCTAAATTTGTGCCAAATTTAAAAAATGATTTTTCTAATATGAGATGAGTTTGTAAATGAATTGAATTGAATTTTTGTTAATTAGTTCATTCAATACTTACTTATTTGTTCTCAATAATAAAAGAAATAATTTATTTTCTTGGTGCTAATTATTATGAACAATAAATATATAAAATATACCACATACAAAATATTGGTTACTTTTATGTCGTCCTATATGCATTAAGTTTGAGTATCATATTTCTAATTATATATGATTAGTTTCATGTCGTCCTATATGCAATTAAATTTGAGTGTCCAATTCCTAATGATGCAAAAATAAATACGTATGAATTATGCTCGAGTTAGTAAAGCACACCTATAAAGACAACTTATCTGCGGTTATTTTACATCTACACACGTTTTTCAACAGGCTACATGATAATATTCAAAACAAAAATGCCTTGAATTATTTTTCGTAACATATTATAATTATGCTACATAGTTCAAATAATAATTTGTTTTATATAAGGTAAGATCATAATTGTTTTTATACTCTAATTATATATGATTAGTTTCATGTCGTCCTATATGCAATTAAATTTGAGTGTCTAATTCCTAATGATGCAAAAATAAATACGTATGAATTATGCTTGAGTTAGTAAAGCACACCTATAAAGACAACTTATCTGCGGTGAGTTTACATCTACACACGTTTTTCAACAGGCTACATGATAATATTCAAAAAAACAAATGCCTTGAATTTTTTTTTCAGTAACATATTATAATTATGCTACATAATTAAAATAATAAGTTTTTTTTTATATAAGGTAAGATCTTAATTGTTTTTTATACTCCTAAATTTTAGGGCTTTCAATATAGTTTAAATAAGGAGTAATTAATAACAAAACTTTAAATGTTTTTAGAGTCCAATATATTAGGAAAATAATTAAATGACTATTCCTAAATATTAGAAAAATAATGGTTATTTATAAATGTTAGCGAAATAATTAGATTACTATTTTGTCCAATGTGAACTCTATATTTAAAGGGTAAAAAAGGCGAACGACATTTCGCTAAAGATCTTCATGATTTTAATATAGTACTAATCTCTATAAACGTGCACACACGTTATTTTTTATCAATGTAAATTGTCACAAAAATTGCTAGGTAATATTAATTCTAATTACCTTAACTTAACAGCAACACTGCGTAAAATATTAACATTAAATACAACAAATAAGTTTTCCGGTGATTCCTTATGCCCCAAACATGTTGTCTAGGCTATTCAAGATGTTAGATCTAGTTTTTAAAAAATAAGGTGATGGTTATAATAAAATATAAAAAAATATATATTTTTAGCCGCTTCCAAATAATAGTCGACAAAAATATAATTTTTTGTACATATGTGTATTCATATACATTAATATATATCTTTTATATACCTTTTGGCTAATGAATATAATTAGTTTCAGCCGACCAACTAACTTTTTATTTTGCCCTATAATGTAGGCCGCCCGATTTGCATTTCAACATCTATAGCTAAAAGTGTTGGCGAGTCATTAATTTCATCCCCCAACTTTGTAACAAATTTTCCAAAACTTAAGAAGAATTTAATACTAACATAATAGAAGAAAATAATTTGGAACTAATCAACATAGAAAGCTATAACTAATCAATCTCCTGCAAATCTATTTTATGCTCAAAAATTTATAAAACACCAAACATAAAATAAATAGCGCTTGTACCATACTTTGGACCAACATACAAAAAATATATTTAGATGACTGCTACTTATAATACATAGGTTAAACCATTAATACCTAATAGAATAATTTTTTATATTATGTTGTTATTCAATGTGAATTTGTTATTTTCTATTTAAATTCTAGTTAGCTTACAATTAGTCTTTAATTCTTTATATACGTACCAATCAATAATCACTTAGGTCATCAATGGTTCAACCTCTGTAAATTTCGAAAATTATTCTTACAAATCCTCTTTCTTCTGTAGAACTTTTCTTTTATAGATGTGCTTTTTAAACTCAAGTTCGATTCTTATTAGTACATGATTAGGAACATAAACGGTATGAATTTTAATTTGTGACATCTTTTGAGATTGAATTCTTTTTGTTTACTATTTTGTATTTTATAAGCGTAAAAGTTTGACTTTTCGACATACCATTCTCTTATCCTATGAGTATCCCCCAACGCTTATTAAGGAAAATTCATAATCGTTACATGATTGAGTTTTGTTTGTTCCACCATGGGAGAACGATTTACCACTAACCTGACAGACCAATCAATATTCATTACCGGTGCATATATGGGTGAAATTAGCTCATGAAAATATGACACGTAAGTTTGGGCGAATTAATATCCCGCTCTTTATTAACTTAATTTATTATGACCTGCCCGATTAACTATATGAATTTTATCCACATATCATGGAATTATATCTTGATGACATAAAATATTCTTGGAAGAATAAGCAATCGAGCAATTTTTAATTTCATAAAATTGTATTTTGAAGACAAAAATCCTTTTGAATAGTAAGCAACCGATAGTTCCCTTTCAAGTTTCTATCTTGCCACAATATAAGAGAAGGTATAAAGAAGCTATAATAAATAGATCACAGCAAATTTGTATCTTTATCTGCAATACATTAATAATCAAAGAGTTAATATAATGTGTGACTTACGAAAAGAGAGGAATTCAGGATAAAGAAGATGAAAATTGAAAGAACACATGACTTTGATTATTTTATCTTGAACTACTACTTTATCTTGAACTACAAAAAACACAGTTAAAGTTTCTATCTTTCACAAATATAACATGAAATTAAAAGGCTTATAATAAAAAGAAAAAGAAAAATTGAACGGTGATATTCAACTTTCAATGGACATTGATAATAGATTAGAGTCCTCTACAAACTTGGCAATATTTGCAGCGGTAGTGATTTACCAATAAAAAGTTAACAAATTTTTAGTTGATTTAATCCTACTCATTAGATAGAGTTTAAAAGACTATTATCGGTTAATATTTTAAGGGTATAAAAATATTTAACTATCCCTTTTTTCAAATGTAACTCATACACTATGTAAATATTCTATTCTCACACAATTATATTTTTGTTTGTAATTAGGAGCAATAATTTGTTTTAGAAGAAAATTATGGACGTGCCTTCCTAATCCAAGTATGATCAATTTTATATAATATGTGACAGTTTAAATCGGAAAAGACTTCCATCATTAGGTAATTTACCATTAAATTCTTAAATTATATAAATATTTAAGGGCATAAAAGTCGATCATTGTTTTAAGGATATTTTAGTCGTTCAACATTTAGCATAAATTATTCATACTTTTATAATAATATAAATAGATCGTTGCAAATAGCATATGCAGATAAAATTTTTCCTCATGAAAATTTACTATACATCGGGAAGCTTACGATTTAGTGATATATTATAAATTTATAATCTTGACGATTCAATGGCGTCCGTTGCTCATATCTCACTAAACTATTAAAAGTTATATAATATAACAATTTTTTTAACAGATTAATCATATGTTAATATGCGCATCAAAATTTATTTGTCCATGTTCCGGTTACCAAAAGCTGATGTGGCATTATATATTATTCCGCATGAAATTAAGTAATATCAAAACTAAAAATAAAATCCGACCCACAACAACACGATTTTAATCTAGAAGACCTTGGCCCCCTCCTTATTTTATAAAGAGAAATTTAATCAGTAGGTAGTTTATGTACATTGACTCAAAAGGTAAAAAGTGAATTTGATCGACTATTTATATAAAAGTCCCTTTTTATAAAAACGACATCTTCTTCCTTCCCTAGGGCAAGTGCACAAATAGCCATTCTCAAGATTGGTATTTGGAGATTAGTCAGTACTTATTTTGTCTTGAAATTTTAAACTAAAATTTCAAATTTTAGGACAATTCAGGAAATTTTTATCCTAAAAATTTGAACCGCAAAACTGAAATACAGGACGCACTGGCTAATTCTTAAATAACAGCCCTTTAGAGTGGCTACCAGGTGTCATTTCTACTCGTTCCCTTCCGTCTGTAAAAATAGCACGGGCTAGCCAGTTTTCGGACTGGTCATTTAAAAATAGCCAGCGTTTGCAAAGCCATTGAAAAATAACCACTATTTTGCTGCAATATGAAAAGTTCCAGCATAATATACTGGAGATTGGAGCAAATGTGCATGAACTTCCAGTATATACTGGAGTTCCAGTATAATATACTGGAATTCCAGTATATTATGGAATATTTTCCGGATTTTGAACAATATTTTCGTTCAGATTTATCTTTATATGAAAATTGGCTAAATTTCGATTACTTTTGAAACTGTGACTATTTTACAATGACCACTTGTAAATCTGGCTATTTTCGAATTTCTCTCTTACGTTCAATGGCCCAAGTACAAATAGGGTTGAGGGTCCAAAACAAATGGGCCTTAACAGTTCAAAGCCCAGTAAATTAGCAGCCCAAAATGTTCTTCAATTCAGCTAAATAAACCCCAAATCTTTCAGTTTTTCCGTCTTTTTTGCGCCCTTCTTGAGCAAAAAGATTCGAATTTGCAGCAGCCATTAAAGATGGGTGGGAGAGGAAGGTCTCGAACTCAAAGAAAACACTTTCGACAGAACAGAGAAAATGTTTGGAAACGCAGCAAACATGAAGACAACAATGTTACTACTACCAATGATGACAACAACAAAGAACAACAACCTAGTAATAAACCCCATTGGGAGCCCTTTGCTACTCAAAATCTTGCCTTTGATGAGTATTATAAGGTAATAGAGATTTTATCTTTTTGGTATTTGGGATGTGGCACAATGGAATCAATGCGGACTTAGCTAAACATAAGGCAAAATGGAAGAAAAGGATCCACAATTTCTACTTTTAGCCGTGTTAGAGAACTTCTGATATTGTTGTTATTGTTATTATTACTATTATTTTATATATTGAACTTATTTGTCAGCTTTATTTTTGTTTGGTATGAAGACGATATAAGTTAGAGCTTAAATGGAGAAGTGATAATTCATTTGCTTACCCCAACTTGTTTGGGATTGAGGCCTACTTGTTGTTGTTGCAGTTGTCATTGATCAAGAAGGAAATCCAAAAGGAACTCGAATTTTTGGTGCAATCGCCCGGGAATTGAGAGAATTAAATTTTACTAAAATAGTTTCATTAGCTCCCGAGGTATTATAAAATGAAATTGTGATCTGTTTCTAGTGGGGTATTTGAAAGAAATAGATTAATTAGTAGAGTGTTTCTCACACATATATCTTTAATAATTCATATCATATTCAAGAATAAAAAATAAGTTAAAAAACACGTTGATAATATCAAATATGGAAGCCCCAACAATTTTTGTTCATCATGGGTAGGGACCCTATTGTTGAGATAATAACTTCTATACGAAATGCTGATATGGATCGAAAAAGGGTGATTCTAATAGCATCTACTAATATTACCGAAAATATTGCTCAAATACTTTTATGGTTGTTGGTATTTGGGATGTGGGTATGTGCTTATATGTTTAGTTGGATTATGGGGTTTGAATATTTCTTGCCTTTGATGAGTATTATAAGGTCAAAAGTTTTTATCTTTTTGGTATTTGGGATGTATTGATGTGCTTAGTGTTTAGTTGGATTATGGGGTTTGAATATCTCTTGCCTTTGATGAGTATTATAAGGTAAAAGAGTTCCCCTTTTTTGGTTATTTGGGATGTGGGTATGTGCCTATATGTTTATTTGGGTAATGGGGTTTGAGTTTTTTTTTTGTTGTAGGAGCAAGGAATAGTACCAACTGAAGAGTGGGATGCTTTTGTTGGCTGCCTTAGAACTCCTTTGCCTGCTGCATTCAGGATCAACTCCAGGTTTATGTGTATCATTTTTTTGAGTTTTAGTTTGTTTCTTGATATTTGTTTCGATTGCTATCTTGATGCAACTGTAAGGACTATAGTTGAAGTATAATTTAATGAATGCTTGCTCTTTCCTTATTTTTGTCTTTCTGGCTTTAAAGTTTGTTAAATTTGAACAAGATTGGATTTTTGTGTTTTTTTATTGAAAGGAAGCTAAGTGTGCTATATGTTACAAAAATTGACAGCAAAGTGCAGTTAAAGTTGTGAACTTTTGAGCATTTCCCTTACAAAGTTTTCACAAGCTCTACTAGCACAGTATGTAAAGCTTCATTTTTTTTGGTGAAGCAGCACGTAAAGCTTCATTTCGTGTGCTTCTGATTGTACAGTGGATTTTACTACATTAGGCACACATTTGGTGGTGGATATACACGTTTCCTCCTATCACAATTGCATGACAAGTGCACTTTGTTCAAAGTGTCTATGTGCTGCTATTAGCATATACCTGAAATAACCTAATTTCATCATTTCTTGTTATTATATGAGGTGCTTCATTCCTACTTTGCCCTCCCAGGGTAGGGGTAAGGTGTGCATACACACTACCCTCCCAAGACCCCACTCGTGGGAAATCACTGAGTATGTTGTTGTTGTTGCTTCTTTTAAAACTTTGAAAGTTGGATCCTTATAAAAAAAAATTGAAAGTTGGATTTTAGAAGAAAGCGCATTGCTCTAAAATAAGGGGTTAAATATAGCAAAGTCCTGCTTCAAGTTCCAAGTAGCATGTGAGATTGAATAAACTTGTTTGTGGTAGCCTACTCCTATAAGAAGTTCTTAGAACTCTAAGACCAAAGCAACTTTTTATAAAATTAAATCATATTGAGCTTCCCGTTTTGTTAATGTTGCAGTAGCCAGTGCTATATGGATATTCGGACCAAGTTGGAGAACGATTTTATGAAATCTGTTCAGGCAGAGGTTGATCAACTGAATTATGTTTACCTTTCATACTAAATTATGAACTTTCGTCATTACATATGCAGTTTTTAGAGGATAATTACTCTACTGCTTACTGTTTCTATATTTTAAGTATGATTCAGGGTGTTGATGGGAGTGAGGTCGAGGGAATAAGACCATTACCTTGGTACCCGGAGAATCTTGCTTGGCAGTCTAATTTTTCACGCAACCAGTTGAGGAAAAACCAAATACTTGAGAGGTTAGTGATGCAATTTCTGTTTTTGTGTTATAACTTTTTGCAGACTCAATTGATAATTGTTTAGTGAGAGATCATTTATAGGTGTATGACAAAAAGTAGCACATGGTTTTCTCAAAATGATTGTTACGGGGTGTTAACTGCTAAACTTTGCTTCCCGGGCTTTGGTCTAGTGGTAAGAGTGTAGTTTGTGATGTGTGGGTTAGGCGCATGTCACATTATTCGAACCCTGCCATAGACGAGAGCCTGGTATTTAAGTGGAGAAGGGTAGAGGGGTGAGCCTATCATCCATCGTGTTTCGAACCATGCGTTATTGACCCTCAAGGATTTTCTCTGTTATAAGAAAAGTAAAAAGGTCAATATTTTGGGACGGATTTTAACAGAAAGGATTTAAAACAAAATAGACGCAGGGACTATAAAAATTTTCATTGTGACTTATCCCAAAGAAAAAAAGCTCACTGTTGACAGCACATATAGTGTTACATTACCATCGAAATAAATTGTGCTTATTATTTCATAGATATTGTTGAAAATAAATTACATGCAAATTAATAAAGCTTGCAAGTTTATTTATTTATTAAAAAAGTTGCACATTTTGCTTTTAGTTTTTGAACTGCATATTGCATAGTGTGAACTGTTTTATATAGAAAGTTAAGGAGAATTTGTAAAGCTAAGATGACTATCAGAAATTAATGAATCCTGTAATTCCATCAGAATCTGTACCTTTTATTAAAGACAATTTCTGACTCTCTCTGCTCAACAATTGAGGTAATTACTATAAGCTTTCAGGTTCCATGAGTTCTTGAAGCTACAAAATGAAATTGGAAACATTACGAGACAGGAGGCCGTTAGCATGGTTGGTCAAGTTGACCTTCATCTCTGTGTTTCCATGTTGGAATATCCCATTGCAGATTTGTTTAATACATCTCCTTTTGTTGACTTCATCTTGTGACTGCTTTGATTCAGGTTCCTCCCTTGTTCCTGGATGTACGTCCAGATCATTTTGCTCTTGACAGTAAGCTATTTTTTATGGGCTCCAAATTACATTTGCATGTTATCTTCTTTTTAGGTTATGCAATATTTCACATATTTCAAATACTGGGTATGTTGTTGTTGTTGCAATATTTCACATATTTCATTCTGAATGCTTTATGTATTGTGACTGTTCCTATAATCATGCAGTGTGCGCAGCTCCCGGTTCGAAAACATTTCAGTTGCTTGAGATGATTCACCACTTGGCTGAACCAGGGAAATTACCTAGTGGAATGGTCTTCTTCTTTCCAATGCAGCTTTTGTGCTTGCCTTTTCAAATGTCCAATCTTTTTTGTTTTCATGTGAACTCTCTGTACCTTTGTAACGTCGTCTTGGTTCTTTTTTGGAATGACTCTTTATATAGGTCTTAGCAAATGATGTTGATGTCCAAAGGTGTAACCTTCTTATTCACCAAACGAAGAGAATGTCTACTGCCAACTTGATCGTCACAAACCATGAAGTGCAGCACTTTCCGAGCTGTCATTTAAGAGGAAATTTTGCAAATGGTTCTGAGACGCAAAAAGTGAGGGAATTAGATATAAATCAGCTTCAATTTGATCGTGTCTTGTGTGATGTTCCATGCAGTGGTGATGGCACTCTGCGCAAGGCTCCTGATATATGGAGGAAATGGTAGTTATTTACATACTATTATAGTCCGTATCACTCTCGTTTTGCTGCATATGATGATTTCTAATGTCCACCTTCTCCCTCCCTCCTTTGTTTGCATCATACAGGAATACTGGAATGGGTATGGGTCTCCATGGGCTACAGATTCAGATAGCAATGCGAGGTTCCTTTCTCCCCCCCCCCCCCCCCCCCACAACACACACACACACACACACATTCAGAGACAATATACTGTGCATTTCTCAACCTCATCTTGTTTCTCTTATTTCTCACATTTTTTACTAATTACTCCTTTATGTATATACCATTCATATAGCCGACTAACCCCAATTAGTTTGGAATTGAGGTGTAGTTGCTACAGTTTTCTGTATATAAGCCTTATTCCTTCTGTCTCACCTTTAGTAGATACGTGATTGGTTAAAAACATATATTGCAGGATTGTCTTTGCTTAAAGTAGGTGGAAGGATGGTTTATTCAACTTGTTCCATGAATCCCATTGAGAACGAGGCTGTGGTTGCTGAGGTAACTCATAGGAAGAATGCTGGCATATCAATTAACATCTTGTTGCTTATAATATTACTCTTTTATTCAACAATAACAATTAAGTCTCAATCCCAAGCTAGGTGAAGTCTGTTCTATAATTCCTCACGATCCATGTCGCTCCATCGAGGCCCTTCTCAATCCAATATTCAATAGTTTTGGCTCTCCAACACTAGAAGTTCTCTACATTTTCTACTGGCATGCAAATTTATTAGAAGGCTCTACATCAAACCTATAGTTGAGTATGGAGCATTCGAAAAACTTGGAGATCCAACTACAACAAGACAGGCAGCCTGATACAACATACTCCCTCTGTTTCAATTTATGTAACACACTTTCCTTATTAGTTTGTTTTGAAAAGAATGACACATTTCTATATTTGGGAAACAAATTAACTTTAAACTTTTCATTTTACTGTTAATGAAAAGCTTGTATAGCCACCTATTATGGCCCCACAAAGCTTTTATACTTTAAAATACTTAACTTACCCCCACATTATGGACCAAATCCCCTATGACACACTTTTTGCGGATGAAAATTAACTTACACATTCAACCTTTCTAAAGTGTAGCTAAGACACACCACCTTTTTCTTGACCAGTTTTTCAGAATGTGTAATGTCACACACCAATAAAGTAGTGCCACGTGTCATTATTTTTATTTAAAAAAATTAACATTTAAAATTACAACTATACCCCATAACCATCTTCTCCCTTTCATCTCTTCTCCGGCAAATTGTACTCCTGCCGTCGACTACCCAAAATCTAGACCTCCACCTTCTAGTTCAAACACAAAAACAAAGCCCCAATCAGAAGCCCCAATCAATTACTCCTAGAAAATACTTTTCTCCAATAGTATTCCAGAGCCTCGTACAATTCTAGATTAAGATTTCTACAAAGTTAAAGTTCGATTTTCTCGGCGTTGAAATCCACGATTACGTACAGATTAGAGCTGCCTTACCCATTCTTTGGTAATAAATTAAGCGTGTCCAAGTTATTAGCTACAAGTTTATGAATTAGTGTGGTGGTTTTGGAAATGATTCTTGTTGTGGGGGTTGCTGTTGCTTCGGCGACCCCGATGACGTCGTTATGGGTTTGGATTCATAGTGTGGAGGTAGCTACAGATTATTATTTGTGTTTTTGGGCTGCTTTATCTGTTATTTGCTCTTTGCCTTTTTTGTTTTAGCCATGGCCGAAAAGTTGGAGAGGTTTAGGTGGGTCTGGTGGTGGATGGGTGGGTGTGCTACTTTAGAAAAAAAGAAAAGAAAAGAAAGAAGCTGAAAAAAGAAAATTAATTTTACCCATTGAATAATTTTATTAGATCTGGACCGTTGAAATAAAGTCCAAGATACGCAGTTTTTTAGTGTTCACACGCCTCATTTAGTTTGTAAAACACGCGTTGGCCACATAGACAAAGAGGTGTGTATTAGCTACACTTTAGAAAGATTCAGTGTGTAAGGTAATTTTTGTTCGCAAAAAGTGTGTTATGGGTATTTGGTCTATAGTTCAAGGGGTAAGTTATGTATTTTTCCAAGCTTTTAAGACTACATATTTCAAAAGTATTCCTTTTTTTCCCTCTTAAACTCCGTACCGAGTCAACGTACATCACATAAATTGAAACGGAAGGAGAAGTTCCTATAGAACCTATCACTAGAATACCCATAGAAGGGGGATAAGGCTAAGTGGAGCGAAAAGGTTTTTCACAAGAAGAAAATTATTAAGTGACTAGTCTTGGTTGACTGTGGTTGGGGAGACCTAGGAAAAAGGCACCTCTAACGGAGCTTTAGGTCCTTGCATTTGCTGCAAAATTTCCGTCGTCGAATATACGAATACCATGCTGAATTTTCTCTTTTCCAGTTTCTATCCTACCCCACCTTCGGGTTATTTGATTTGTGTATTGTTTTCATGTGGACTGTTGATATGATGCAAGTACACTTGCTGTTTAATTCGTTAGCATGATTATCTGTCTTTTACGTAAACTTCAATCCTTTAATAACCCTTTGTAATCCATTTCTATTGACTATTACCTATTGTTGACCCAGTATAAACGTTTCATGAGAAGTGCTTGGTTTCATCTTGATTGGTGTACAATTTTATCAAAAAGTGCCGCAAAGCTTCTTTAACTTGGTAGTTGAATGTTTTATCCCAAGTGTTGCAACCACTAGAACATGCTTTCCTGCTTCCTTTTTTTTCTTTAAATTTATGGCTGATGATTAATCAGAATAAGTTTCCTGAGAAGCAGAGATTATACATATATACATGCATAAATATATGTGTGAGTGTGTTGCCTTGGAACTTCACAAGTACGTAATACTTGCTTTCCGTCCTCCCCAACTGGCTTGTTATATTGCAGGTCTTGCGGAGATGTGGGGTGTCCGTTGAACTCGTTGATGTGTCCAGTGAGCTTCCTCAGCTTGTTCGCAGGCCAGGTCTTAAAAAATGGAAGGTGTGGTAGTTTTTTTCTCATCCTTAATTTTCGTGTCTTGTCTCCATGTTTTGTGATCTATATATAACAGATTGAGGTTTATGTGCAACCAGAGAGTCCTGTCCATTATAATCCATCTTAAAAGGTAGAAAAGGAGAGAAAGTTGTGTTTGGAGATGCATTCTATATCCACAGAATGATCTCCTTTTTCAGCTAATGTCACATGATTGTGGGATTTTGTGTGCATCAAGCTCGTGATGCTATTAGTCTATATCCGGAAGGTGGGGGACCTAAATATTCTCACATGATAGTCTATATGTGGTGAGCAAATCTGGGGAGGAAATCAACATGGCCACAGGAACTTTGATATACTAACGTTGGAATATGACCTTATCAAAAAAAAAAGAAGGTTGGAGTATATTCACTTTTCTGATATGAAATTTAAATCGGTTCATTTGATTTTGGTTAAGGCTGAGTATTCCTTTTGCTTCTTCTTTCTAATAATTCGCATGCATGGAGCTTTAACCATGTTCGAGGAGCTAAGGATTGGGAATTTAGTGTTCACGAGCATGAGAATGAATTCCTTCTAAGTGTTTCACACAGCTTGCGGTGTTATTATTTTCTTCTGTTGGTGGAGTATAAAAATTAATAGTCCTGTCATCCCATATATTTTGGCGGTATTTGACTGGAAATGGAGTTTAAGAAAATAACAAAGACGTTTGACACATATAGGCTGAATATGCATCAAATACCAAAAGTATCCTCAGTACCAAGCTATTTGCTAGTGGACACCGGAACAGGTCATGTCAATGTAACAGTGGAAATATAGAAATTAATTAGTTTCTAAATATAGAAATGCGTCAATCTTTTGGAAGGTCAAAAAAAAGAAAGAGTGGCAAACAAATCGGGCTGTACTGCTTTTAATCATCTGGACGACCTTTAATTGATGGTGTCTGTATTTACAAGTTCTATTGATCTTTAGTAGAAGGGGAGCCTTGGCGTAACTGGTAAAGTTGCTGCCATGTGACCAGGAGGTCACGGGTTCAAGCTGTGGAAACAGCCTCTTGCAGATATGCAGGGTAAGGCTGCGTACAACAGACCCTTATGGTCCGGCCCTTCCCCGGACCCTACGCATAACGGGAGCTTAGTGCACCGGGCTGCCCTTTTATTGATCTTTTAGTAGCATTAGACAGATTCCATTGCTTATGCTGCATGATTTTATCTGATGTTTGTTCATCTGTACGTGCAGGTTCGAGATAAAGGAATGTGGTATGCTTCTTACAAAGATGTTCCAGATAATCGCAGAGGTGGTGTTGTTCCCGGGATGTTCCCATCTGGCAAAACCTATGTGGATGCATCTGAGCAAAATGATGATGCAACTAGAGCTCAATTGTCTGATAATGGAAATAATGATAATTCTGAAAATGACATGCCGGTGTTGGAGGATTCTGCAACTGTAGCTACAATCGTGGATGATGAGGGAGTTTCAACTCTACCGCTGGAGCATTGTATGAGGATAGTGCCACATGATCAGAATAGTGGAGCCTTCTTTATTGCCGTATTTCACAAGCTTTCTCCTTTGCCAGGTGAGCTTAAAGTTAAACACCCATTGTCCATTAGTACATTAATCTGAAAATGGGATCATTTGCCATTTGATATCCATCTATATTTACGTAACTGTTGAGGTACATTTTTCCGTTTCTGGCAGCTTCAGCCTTTCAGCAGAAACCTGTCTCTCTGCGGGAGAAGTTGAGTTCCAGTAATATTCAAGCTGAAAGTTTAACAACTAAGGTTAAAGAAGATGTCAATGTTGAGGATGTTAAGCCAGTGGATTCCGTTGGTAACGAAGATGTGACTATGGACGATGCTGATATTCAAGCTGAAAGTTTAACGGCCGAGGTTAAAGAAGATGTAAATGTTAAGGATGTTAAGCCAGTGGATTATGTTGGTAGCGAAGAGACGACTACGGTTGATGCTGGTAATGGGACCGATGAAACTATTTTGGATGCTGAGCCCAGTGAAACATTGGAGAAAAAAGAGATAGACGAAACTCAACCTCCTACTGATACAAGAGCTGAGCCTGAGACTAATAGAGGGAAAAGAAAATTACAAATGCAAGGCAAGTGGAGAGGGGTTGACCCAGTTATATTCTACAAAGAGGAGGCAGTTGTGGGTAAGATAAAGGATTTCTATGGTATCAAGGACTCATTCCCTTTCAAAGGACATCTAATTACGAGGAATAGCGATATGAACCATGTGAAGAGAGTTTATTATGTGTCAAATTCTGTGAAGGAAGTTCTGCATCTCAATTTTCTAGCTGGTCAGCAGCTTAAAATAGCTTCAGTTGGGCTCAAGATGTTTGTAAGTCTATCCGAATTTGGCACTTGATTTCTCTTTGTGGGATTTTTTTCAAATTTGACACAACTTCTCTTCGTGGGAATTTTGTCACACTTGACACCTAACTTCTCTTCATAGGGCTTTTGTCATAATAATAAAAATTGCAGCAGCATTAATTATGCCTCGAACCCTCAGCGAAATAGCAAAATTGCCCCCCCCCCCCCTACACACACACACACACACCTTTTTTTTTCCTTAAAAAGATAAAGTAAGATTAGGGAGCGAGAAGACAGAGGGTCGCTATTTTCTGATATCTTCTTGCCAATTGCACTATTTAGATGACCTTTTTGCTTTGGCTCTTTCCAATTTGCAGGAGCGCCAAACATCTAAAGATGGTGCATCTTCACCATGTATATTCCGGATATCATCTGAAGCATTGCCGTTAATGCTGCCGTATTTAACCAAACAAATATTATACGCATCTCCTGCGGACTTCAAGCATCTTTTGCAGTACAAGAGCATTAAATTTGGTGATTTTGTGGATGCTGGATTTGGGGAAAAGGCCTCACAGCTGTTGATGGGTTGTTGTGTGGTGGTTCTGAACAAAGGTTAGATGTGATGTAGTGTTTGGCCGTGACCTTACTTGCAAATACTGAAATCATTATTTGCATTTTGAAGTTTGTCCATCAGTTTTGCGAATACTAAATTTCAGCGTTTGAAATACTGGTGAAATATTGAAAAACTTGTGTGCGAAACTCATGTCCAACACAACTTTAACTTCCAAATACACTTTATAAACGTCAACTTCGAATACTCTTTTTTCAACTTCAACCAAATGTCGTCCAAACGCCTACACATTATGCCTCATTTCCTAGCAAAAATCCTCATTGCTCTGCTTCTGATTAAGTTTGGTTGATTGTTTCGTGCAGACAATAAGACACTGTCAGAAGCTCAAGCGGATCCATCAACTATCGCTATAGGATGCTGGAGAGGCAGATCTAACATCTCAGTGATGGTCACTGCACTTGATTGCCAAGAGCTGCTCGAAAGGATGTCAATGGGTGTGGAAGAGGAAACAAATTTGTGCTTGCCGGAAACCAATACATCAGCTGCAGAGGCAGATGAAATAGTTGAAGCAGTGGAAGATGAAGTTAAAGAGGACACTAAACAACCATGAGAATACTCTATATAAAACTTACGATTTTGGAGGCTGTTATAGATGTACCATGATTGTGAATTTAGTAATTGCTTGTTTGTAGCTTTGCTCAAGTTTTATTCAATATATCCACAACAATCATTTTCAGATGAAGATAATTTGAAGAATCCCTTTAGATTGTTATTTTATGTACTTAAATCAATATGTTGAAGAATTAAGTACCATATTTGTGAGCCTTGAGCTTAAACTTTGTTTCCACTTTCTGCAGCCAATTGCTGGCTAGTGCATAGCTGCATTATGATATTGGGAGAACATATATTGTATTTTTGCAAAGGGGAGGGAGGGAAGAGGCAGACAACACAATAGAATAGCATTTTAGCACTAACTGTTTGTTTTTATATTTTGACTATTTCTATTCCATTATAATTGTTGCCTTGGCTTCAGTCCTCTTTTTATGTTGTTGTTTGTACTTGTTGTCATTACTTCTTTTATCTTTTCTTTAGTCGAGGGTCTTTCGGAAATTGTTTCTCTGCCCTCCAGGGTAGGGGTAAGGTTGCGTACATTTCACCCTCCCTAGACCCCACTTGTGGGAACTTATTGGGTTTGTTTTTTGTAACGACCCGACCGATGATTTTGAGTATTATAGCTCTGTTCCCCCATTTATTGCTTATTCCATGCTCATTTGTTGTTATGTGACTTGCCGAGTTAATTAGTTTAGTTCTGGGATGTTTCAGAATGAGTTGGGACACTTAGTCCCAAGTTTGGAAGCCTAAGTTGAAAGAGTTGACTGGATATTGACTTATGTGTAAATGGCTCCGGAATGGAGTTTTGATGGTTTCGATAACTCAGTATGGTGATTTTGGACTTATGAGTGTGTCCAGATATTGATTTGGAGGTCCATAGATGATTTTGGCTTGAATTGGTGAGAGTTGGAAAAGTTGAGGTTTGGAGAGTTAGAAGTTTGACCGAAAGTTGACTTTGTTGTTACCGGATTCGGATTATGGTTCCGCAAGTTGGAATAGGTCTGTTGTATCATTTATGACTTATGTGCAAAATTTGAGGTTAATTGGAGTTGGTTTGGTATGTTTCAGCATTAGTTTTGGAAGTTAGAAATTCATAAGTTCATTAGGCTTGAATCGATGCGCGATTCATAGTTTTAGTGTTGTTTGATATGATTTGAGTCTTCGAGCGAGTTCGTATGATGTTTTAGGACTTGTTGGTATGTTTGGTTGAGGTCCTGGGGGCCTCGGGTGTGATTCAGATCATGTTCGACGCATTTTGGAACTTTGAGGAACTGCTGATTTTCTGTTGCTGGTTTTCTCTTTCGCGATCGCGGAGAGGGAGACGCGATCGCGTAGCAAGAATGATTATGCGATCGCGAAGCTTGGGGAGGCAGTGCTACACGAACGTGTGTGTTAGGTCGCGTCCGCGAAGAAGAAAGGAGGAGGCTGGTAGTCCACACAATTTGTTCTTCGCGATAGCGTAAAGAGATCCGCGATCGCGAAGAGTACTTTGAGGGCACCTTGATTTTTGTTCTTTGCAATCGCGAGGGATTTTCCGTGATCGCGAAGAGGAACATCTGGGCAGAATATGAGATTTCAAAATCGAGGGTTAGAGTATTATTTCATATTTGGACTTTGGGAGCTCGGATTGAGGCGATTCTTGGAGGAATTTTCAAGGATTTGATTGGGGTAAGTGATTCCAACTCGGATTTGGTTAATATACATGAATCTATCATTGTTTTTATTATTTAATTAGTGTTTCGTGTTGGAAAAATTGGAGAAAATTGTAGAAACTTCATAGGCTTTAATTTGAGAATTTGAAGGACGAGTTGTGATCGGAATTGAGTAATTTGGAATGGTTGGACTCGTGGTTGAATGTGTGTTCGAATTTTGTTAATTTTATCGGATTTCGAGACGTAGGTCCGGGGTTAACTTGTTGAGTCGACTTTTTTACTTTTGTTAAAGAACTTAGCTTATTCATATATAATTGATTCTTATAGCTTGTGTTGATTGTATTGAGTTGCTTTTGGCTAGATTAAGTCGTTCGGAGGCCGATTCGCGAGGCAAGGGCTTGTTGGAGTAGAGATTTGCACGGTTTGAGGTAAGTAACACTCTTAAACTTGGTTCTGAGGGTATGAAACCCTGAATTACGTGTTATGTGATTGGTGTTGAGGAGATGTACATACTAGGTGCAGGCGTGTGGGCGTGCACCGTAGAAATTATGACTCAACAGATTCTGTAGAACTGTGTAGTCATCTAATCTTAGTATTATTCGTGTACTCTCCATGTGTTGGAGGAATTGAGCTGTGATTCTTGTTAGAAATTATGTTTAGGCTATATGCTAGTACTGTTGGGACCCACATAGGTCATTTGTTGTTGAATTATTTGCAAATTTACAATCATGTACTCAGTCATATCTATCCTTGCATATCATATCTTAATCTCTGTTACCATTATTGTTACACCATATTATCATTGTTTAGGCTTATTGTTATGAGATTTTGTGAGCCCGAGAAACTGGTGAGATTAATGACTGAGTGAAGCCGATGGCCTAATTGTGAGTGATATTTATGGGATCGGGTTGTACGTTGCAGCACGCTTTATTGATTCGTGTCATGATTGGCTTATATTAGCGGGGAAGGATCCGCCCCTCCGGAGTCTGACATACATGCAGTGAGCGCAGGTACCTACTGAGTGTAAGCGCCGAGCGCGAGTGCCGAGTGACTGGGAGGACTGAGTGACTAGGAGGACTGAATGACTGAGCGTGCTAAGTGAATTCATACTCCGAGAGTATGCATTTGACTTTATCACTGTGTTGCATTACAGTTGGCGTGCATAATTGACAGGTAGATATAGTGATGTATCATTCCGCATATTAGTCACACTTAGCATATTTTATCCGTGTTTAACTTAACCGTTAAACTTGAAAGCATGTCTACATTTCTGTACTGTTAAGAATCTTTATTTAGACTGTACCTGTCAAGCTCGACACTGTTTTCAGCCCAAGGTTAGTCTTGTTACTTATTGAGTACATTGGGTCGGTTGTACTCATACTACACTCTGCACTTCGTCTGCAGATCCAGGTACTTCTAGACACGGCGGGTGCTAGATTGGGGCATCAGTTGCTTGGAGACTATCGAGGTAGCTGCCTTGGCGTCCGCAGACCTTGACTCTCATTCTTTTCAGTTTATTTGTATTGTTCTATCTTTCTAGACAATGTTTAGCAGCTAGACTATGTTGTTATTTAGATGCTCATGTACTCAGTGACACTCGGATTCTGGGGGATTTTGTATTGAGTTGGTGTTTTCTTATCAGTTGATTATGAGATTTTTATTATTTAACTTTATTTCAGTATGTTTAAATTAAAGATGTGTGGTTATTTGTGAGTTATCGGCTTACCTAGTATTGCGATAGGCGCCATCACGACATATGAGATTTTGAGTCGTGACATTTTTGTTGATTATTTCTACCTCAAAATATCAAATTATAGCAAAATAAAAATTTATCTGCACCAGGTATTTATACCAAACTGTAAAAACTTATATAAACGCATGTCATATATTTATCTAGTTTTTACCCACGAGGTATTATGTTAGAAGAATTTGTGTTGTATATAAACTTACACATGTCAATTTGGTTTAAAGATATGGCCATAGGTTATTGTTAGTTTTTTGTGATGTAAGTTAATTTGAACTAATCAGTTTTTTCTGGTGTAGGTTAATTTGAGCTAATTGCTATAGGTCAATCACATTTTTTATCATGAAATTTCAATCTCATACGCAATCTTTCATGTGCCAAACGCGAAATATAGTATCAAAATAACATATATAATCCCCTACACATGCCAATGACATTGGATTCTTTTGTTTTTGTCTACAAACCAAACTACAGCAAAAATATTAGAAATAGCCTATGGTGTTTACAAATTAAATAACCAGGGCCATAAAAATGCAAACGTTTATCGCTCCCGGACTTTAGTTTAATAGTGTAAGAGCATAACGTGTGATATGTGAATTATGCTATGAGTTCAATCCAACAACGGACAAAACCCCTCTTATACGCGATAGGCACTCTACCTTATTTTCCCGGTTACTACTTCCTTATCAGAACCCTCTTACCTTATTTTTCCGGTTACTACAAAACTTCTTCTTTTTTAATGTACTAATTACTTTCTAGGTGAAATGATAGTATAAAAATTAGTTACATCATCTACATATAAAGGTAATGAGTTGCTGTTGTCCCCTTCCAATTAACTCACAATAACCATTTCCTTTCATTAACAGTGCAAAAAATAACAATATAAATATACAACCAAAAAGACTCAACTAACAAACCCAAGAAATTGACAACCAAAAGAATGAAATAGAAACACCAAACCCAATATCTCAAGATCTACAACATGCTTTCTTTTCTGGGATAACTTGTGCAGGACCAGGTACAAGAATTTTCTTTCCAGTTAAAGATGCAGAATTACCATTTGCTTGATCATCACCTGCAGCAAGATTCTTCTTGTTCACAATGTTGAAGATCTCTGTCAAAACAGTAAAGAAAGCGTCCTCGACATTTGTGGCTTCCATTGCAGAAGTCTCTAAGAAGAATAATCCTTCTTTCTGAGCAAATTCTTTAGCGTCCTCGGTTGGAACAGCTCGTTGATCTTCAAGATCGGTTTTATTTCCGATCAGCATAATCACGATGTTCTTATCAGCATGTGCACGTAACTCTTCAAGCCAGCGTGGAATGTGATCAAATGTTTGACGTTTTGTTATGTCGTAAACCAGCAGAGCTCCCACAGCTCCCCTGTAGTACGCACTCGTGACAGCTCTATATCTGATCATGACACCAAAAGAATGACCGAGTTAATAAAAGCTGTCAAGACTCTGAACCTTCTATTATATCCCGTCCGATAGCAATCACAGACAATCAAAACCTTGAGGCAAACTGGATACCTCTGACCATCTAAATTCTATATGCCTAACAAAGAGCTAATTCCAAACATCATACTAATAGATCAAAAGGAATTAGTATTAGCAGGAATCATAACTCCAGCAAGTCATACAGCATGTATTTGCATACTAAGGCAATTCGATAATTTGAGATTTTTCTTCCAAATAAAAACAAGGTCTGGTCCACAGCAGGCATATTCTGCACATGATTAGTGAGGACGAAAGCCTAAGAACACCGTATTAAGGCAAAATTCAAGTTAGCATGGATGTATTCTAAAATGTTATTTATGATCCCCTCCAAGATAGCACTTTTTTATGAAGTTAATACATTAAAAGGTTACAAAAGAGAGATTAGGTTCCCTACCATAGCACCTTATCCACTACTAGGAAACATTAGACGAACCTGATCTAAAAGGGATATATAGAACGGAAAAGGGTCAAAAATACCCCTTTACTATTCAAAAATGTTCATTTATTCCCTCCGTTATACTATTGGTCTACCACAACCCCTGACATCATAGAATTGGTGCAAAAATACCGCTCTGCCGTTAGGACCCTCCACCATGGCAATATTAACCCATGTGGCCTGACATGTCGTTGAGGTGGATGCCACTTCATTGCACCTATCCCATTTTATCCCTCCCCTACTTCTTCTTCTTCCACCACTTGGGTATGCCATGAGCTCTAAGGCTGCGCTTCATGTACTTCAACTAACTGGAATGCAAGAACAAATTAAATACAACAAAGAAAAGCCCTTAATTATCAATTTGATATTATACACTAACTAATCTTAATCTCCAGGATCCGGAAAAATAAAAAATAAAAAAAAATATAGCAGAGTGATATTTTGCAGCATCAACAAGTCTCTTTCCATATTGTTGCTCTATATCTCCAAGAGGAATTGTCTGCAAATAGTTTGCTATACTAGTTTCATTAATTGGACAACAATTTGCAACACCCATTTCATTGGGTAAATCTCAAATTCCCATAAATCTTTTTTTGTTAACGTTTCTAGGTTACAACTGGAAATGAAAAATTTAGTGATGAAGAAGATTTGATGAAATCCGATAAAGATTTGGGTGTGGGGGATATTAGGTGGGTGGGTGTTTTTCTGAAGGAGGAAATCCATAAAGCGAGAAAATCAATTGCTATTAGCTAGTCACTACTTGCTATTACGTTAATCAGTTAATCACTGTTAAAAAATATGTGATGAAGATTGAGGTATCCTATCCCAAAAATCAAACGAAGATTACTTTGAGACTCAATGAAGGACTTGAGTGCTTTCTTCTCCTGGTGGTGCCATCAACCAAATATTGGGCAACAAACCGTGGCATTTCCTGGATGGCCATTCCAACACTTTAAGAGCTGAACTTTTCCAACAAATAATTTGAAATCAAATTCGAAAATAAAACCCAAATTTTCGATTCAATTTGATTTTTCGTGAAACAATGATGGTTTTATGGCATCAAAACTAGTGGTCTTATAGTGGTGGAAGAATAGGACCGTGGTGAAAGAGGAGGTGATGTTGGCCATGGTTGGGGGAAGAGAGAGGTGGTGGAGGAAGAAGAAGTAAGGAAGGGATAAAATGGGAGTGGTGTGATGAGGTGGCATGCCACCTCAGTGGTATGTCATGCCACGTGGGATAATGTTGCCTTGGTGGAGGTTCCTAGCGGAAGAAGGGTATTTTTGTACCAATTCTATGACGTCGGGGGCTGTAGTGAACCAATAGTATAACGGAAGGTATAAATGAACATTTTCGAATAGTAGAGGGGCGTTTATGACCCTTTTTCCGTATATAGAATGTCTTAGTCAAACCAAGGACCACAGAATAGTTGACAAAGAAATTTGGACATGACCCACCCCCAACCCCACCTCCAAAAATAAAAGGAAAGAAAGAAACATCTGATAGCTGAGAGCTGAAGTAACTGGAAGCGAAATTAACAAATTGTTGCACGGATTTGGTCTAATGGTAAGAGCGTAGGGGGTGAAGTGTGGGTTAGGCGCACGCCATGGATTCGGACCCTGCCGTAGCCAAAAGCTAGATATTTAAGTGGAAAAGAATAGAGAGGTGGACCCATTATTAACTGAGTTTCGAACCGTGCACCAGTCTGCACTCGAGGATGTCTCGGTTATTTTTAAAAAAATTAACATGAACTGCTAGGAACCTATATTTCAGCGTGAGTAAAGTAATAGTCATTGCTAATTTCTCCTCCAATACATGATTTTTTGATTGATTTGGAAGAAATTGCAGCCCTGCGACGCAATGATGGTGACTATCAAATTGAGGCATTCTTACAGTAAGAGGGACAATTCTGATAGACATCTACAGTTTTATCAAGCCACTCTTAATACAAAAGGGGGGGGGATAGGGAGGGGTGAAGGGAGGCAAACAAATTGTAATTAATTGTTAAGAAAGAAAAGAAAAACTAACAACCTGATATGGCAAGGGAATATGCATGGGAAGTTTTCTGTTAAGTCTGCTTATAAGGAATTCAACCTTTCCAATAATCAGGTTGAATGTTGGCCATGGAATATGATATAGAAAGTAAAAATTCCCTACAAAGTTGCTTGCTTTACATGGTTATTAGCAAAAGAAGCGATTCTAACACAAGATAATTTAATCAAGAGAGGTTATCACTTCCAACCAAAAGGTTGTGAGTTCGAGTCACCCCAAGAGCAAGGTGGGGAGTTCTTGGAGGGAGGGAGCCGAGGGTCTATCAGAAACAGCTTCTCTACCTCAGGGTAGGGGTAAGGTCTGCGTACACACTAACCTCCCCAGACCCCACTAGCGGGATTATACTTGGTTGTTGTTTTAGGTTACCACTTGTACTCTAGATGTTACTTATGTAGAGTGGAGGCAGAGACAATTAGTCATCTCTTTTTGCATTGCAAGTTGACTGAAGAATTATGGAGAATTTTCATCAACTTAAGGGGAATTTTATGGGCAATGCCAGGAAGAATACTTGAAGTTCTAGCCTGCTGGAATAAAGAGGGTAATCTTTCTAGTCATAAAGAGAGATGGAGAATTGTCCCAACCTGCATATGGTGGACAATCTGGGAAGAGAGAAATCAGAGATGCTTTGAAGACAAGTCCAGTAACATCCAGAAGATGAAGATGAAATGTCTAACCCTTTTCTATTTTTGGTGTAAAGGAAAGTTTTTGGAAGATCATGAATCCATTTTTGATGTTCTAGATTCCTTGTGAGAAAACCAAGGATTATAAGTGTTTTTTTTTTTTTTTTGTGTGCACTCCCTTTTGTAATTATGGGTGATTTCACAATTTTAGTGAAGTCTATATACTACTAATATACAAATATGTTACATTCAAAAAAAAAAAAAAACTGAATCTTCGAATAAATATGTATGTCTTTATTTACAAATTCACTAACATAAAAAGGCCTAATCTCTGTGTGGCACAATTGAGTTCAATTTACAACTTCACCAATATCAAGCTTTTCCTCAGGTGATTTTAGAAAGACTAAACAGTCAATAAAACTGATAGCAAAAGCAAAGCTCACTTCACGGTTTTGTAAAATGGCATTTAGATGAAAGACCAAGTATTCTCGGGGAATCTGAGAACTGGATTTAATACTGATGTGCACCGAGTTGTGAGTCAATGCATCTTCAGAAACATCTTTTATGTGCAATTCTTGAATCTTGAGTTATCGAGTCTGACTTGATTCACCTCTTTTATTCATCAAGTTAAGTTCAAGTTTTTAAGCTAAATTTGCTGCTTTATCCAAGATCCAAAGTCAGCATCAAGTCCAAAATCTCAAGTGAACATCTCTCTCCACATACCAGACTAACGTGCCCAAATTACCGGATAAATTTAAGCTTGAAAAATACAGCTAACACACTACGGTTTTACTAGTTGGACTACTAAACACTTTTCCTTATCAGAGAGATCTACTTGAAAAGGAAGTGAAATTCCCAAAACCCAAAATTCAAGAATGTAAAGTTCAAACCCAAATAATGAATCAAACATAGCAAATATGAAAATCTAGTCTGCACATCACAGCTCTGAATAACTTAAAATGAAAACATTACTTACTACTAGATCTCTTTATAAGATTCCAGCAGCTTCAAACACAGAGCAAAAGAACAAGAAAGAGGGAGATCAAAGTGAAAAAGACAGCATTAAATAACAACAAAAACACAATTCAGTAAACTAATTCTCTGGCTTAAAACTCCCAAAAGAAGTACACCTCTCTTGCATTTTATATGGCATTACATTTGCAGGACTTAAAACTACTTTTTTTCCATTGACATCCATTTTCTCATTCATTTTTAATCATCAAAGTTGTTGCTTTTTTTTTCTTTGTTTGAATAACCGTGGTATCCGGACCAGCTTGAGCGCACCTCGACTAAATCCACGGAAAACCTGCCACCTCTCACCAGTAACAGGTACCAGATAACTCTATCCACCCAAGACTTGGATAAATGGAAAAAAATAACCTAGTATTTTTTTACTCCGCTCAGATTTGAACATGAGACCTCATGCTTCTCAACTATTTCATTGACCACCAGGCCAATCATCAAAGTTGTTACTTAACATTACTATTTATGTAATCAGTCAGTTCAAAAACAATGAAAATACCAGAGAAAGCAAACAGTGATAACTACACAGCAACAAACGTATAACAAAACAAGAAGAACTAAAAAAGATTCAATTTTTCAGTTATTAAACAACTAAAAGAGCAAAATCCTATTACCGTTCTTGACCAGCAGTGTCCCAGATCTGAGCTTTAACAGACTTATGTTGAATAACAAGAGTCCTTGTCTGAAACTCAACACCAATAGTAGCCTTAGAATCAAGACTAAACTCGTTCCTCGCAAAACGAGCCAGTATTTGAGACTTGCCTACTGCTGAATCACCTATTAATACCACCTTAAAAACATAGTCTATTTTTTGACTTGCATCACCATAGCCACCCCCACTTGTCATTTTTTTCTAAACACAATTTTCTTTAGGCCTGAAAAATTCTGTTTTAATCAGCAGAAAAATGGAAGAAGATGAAAAGCAGAGACCGAGAGAGAGAGAGAGTGAGACAGAGGGGGAACAAATGTTGGTTGTGTCTTAACTAGGATCTTGCTGTCAATTATAGTAGTGGTGTGTGTGAATGAAATCTGCAATTATTATCATTATTAAGTACTACTACTATTTGACTAGTACCACAGTTAGTTTTAATAACTCCATCCGGAACCAAAATAATGAGTTTTTGGATTCAAATACACAAAAATAAGTGTAAAAAAAATTTAGTGACCAAAATACATATAGTGCCCTTTAAAAGGGCATTATACGTGAATATGAAAAGAAGGGTAAGTATAGCGCCGTTTATTAAGGGGCTATACATATTTTGTGGGACCACCAATAATTATTCTGCGCTTAACTGACATAACAATAATTCAAATGGGTATAGCGCCCTTATTTAAGGCACTATACCTCAAAAAATTTGACTTCCGGGATTGGGCATTGCCTTATTTAAGTACGTTAAGGATTTTGTAAAAATCCATTCAGAAAAATTCTCAAATCTTGTTAAATTTTTCTTCGTTAAGTTGTTTTGCATTTTGTCATAATGTCTTAAGAGTGAAAAATTAGGGTTTCTTTATCTTGGGGGATGAGGTTGTGGTGGCGAATAACTCAGTAAGCTATAATTTATCTCTACAGTATCATGTTAAGTTGCCACTTACAATGGAGTATGATAGATTGGTATCGTTGTTATGTAAAAAAATGAGTGTGAGCAAACGTTCGGTGAACCTTAGAGTAACAGGAAGATATCCGTATTCTGTCATTCCGCAAGGGGTTTCTTGTTATGCTGAGTTTAACATCGAGGATGATGAAACTCTGAGTGATTTTTTGAGGACTCTGGATGAATACCAGGAATTTCTTTTGATAAAAATGTTGGAAATGAACGTCAAGGCTGAAGATGTTCGTAATAATGAGGTTGCGCAAAGCAGGGATATCCCTCAGTCATCGGGTGATTATTTTGGAGCAGTTTTAGCCGAACAGATTCCGGCTGAAAGAGTTTGGCCTGATCTAAACTAATCTCCACGGGTGAATGAGGAGCGAGAAAATAATTTCTCTCCTACTTTACATAATCCACAAGACGAGTGATAAACTTTAATTTTCCTTTGTGTTACGATGTTTATTTTTTCTGTATTGAATATATATTAACACTCATATATTCCACAGTGGGTACCGGCTAGATATGAAATTTACAAGTTATGAACTAACGCCCAGTTGGAATATGCGTAGTTCTGGTGTGTTGGATCATGGTGGTCCATCCGGGAGTCATCACAACAGGATGATGTCCATCATGGGATGTCAACACATTACGATTTGTAAGTGAAGTGATATAGCTATATGTAAAGTATTTATCAATTTGAGTAACTCATTATTTTGTTGGTTGTATAGTGAAAACGAGCAACTTGAACGTCATGTCCTAACTCAATTGCCCGAAGATGACATATTTAATTGGGATCTGGCAGATGTACAGAGTCAGGAAGAGAACAATGATTATGACAACAATGTCGATGAGTCCGGAGATGACACACCCTTCCCTGATGAGGAGGAAGAGAATGTTGGACCTGATTTGACAAGGGAGCATACTCCACCCCCCGTTAGACCAAGAGTGTACGAGTCCCACGTGCTATTTCATTCAAGGGAGATTCCCTACCTTGATCATTTGCCAAGTATATCGGATGTGGATGCCCTCACAAGGGATACTGACAAAATTCGGACAGCAATGTGGGATGAGTCTAGACCAACGGTGTTGTCAAAGGGCATGCTTTTTCCTGATAAAGCGTGCCTAAGCAGGGCGGTGAAAATGTACAGCATAAAAGAGTGTCGTGAGATGACAGTATGGCAGTCAACTCCGGATGTATACAAGGTTGTTTGTCGTAGATGGTTTATGGGTTATAATTGGATGCTGCGTGTGAAGAAGAAGAAAATAAATATGTGGGTTGTGGGTAAATACATTGGCACCCACAATTGTGAAATGGACACATTCAATGGGAATCACTTCAACTTGAATGTTGACTTGATTTCTCTTGTCTTGATTCCACATATTGAAGCGTCCATAAGGTATAAGATCAAAGAGTATATTACATCCGTCCACCAGGAATATGGGTGCACCATTACCAAAAAAAAGGTATTTCTCAAGCGCAAACGTGCGTTTGAAATTATTTATGGTAACTGGGATAAGTCATTTGCATCTCTACCCAGGTACATGGCAGCATTGCAACACTTTAACCCCGAAATTATTGTTGAATAGAAGCTTGAGCTGAGTCCGGGAATACCAGAATATATATTCAGATACGTGTTCTAGGCATTTAAACCAGCAATTGATGATTTTGTGCATTGCCGGCCGGTAATATCCATAGACGACACTTATGTCTATAGAAAGTATGATATCAAGTTGTTGATCGTCGTTGCAGTAGATGTTAATGGAAGTATATTTCCCTTAGCTTTTGCTATTTGTGCCAATGAAAGCCAAGAGACGTGGACACTATTTTTGAACCACTTGAAAGAGCACGTTATCAAATAGCGTTTAGGTATTTGTCTAATATCTGATCGGCATTGTGGTATTTTAAGTTCTGTACAGAATTTGCGTACATGGTAGGAACTGTATACCTACCACCGTTACTGTGTGAGGCACCTGAAGCTCAATTTTCAGAAGGCATATCCCAATAAAGATTTTCATGATTTAATGTGGATGGCTGCAACAGATTACCAAGAGTGTAAATTCAGGAGACGCATAGAATCTATTAGGCAGGAAGACGAGGGAGCCTATCGTTGGTTGATGCGACATGAGCTTGACAAGTGGACTTTGCATGCGGATGGTGGCAGAAGATGGGGAATTCTGACTACAAATGTGTCAGAGTCTTTCAACGGGTTATTGATGTCTGCATGAGGATTGCCTGTCACTGCCATGGTGCGGATGTCATTCAAGTTGATGGCAGAGTGGTTTGTTGAAAGGGCTACAGGTGCATCGTCATTGATGGAAATGGGTTTTGAATTTATTCCAATATCAATGAAAAGATTTGAGAAATACAGGAAGCGAGCACATTGGCATTCATTTTTGCAGTATTGCAAACGAGCGAAATATTTTTGAAGTTCGCACCGCTATCCATCACAACCGGGGGAATAATACACATACCGTAAATGAATCCAGAAGGTTATGCTCTTGTGGGAAATGGTCCATCTACCACATGTCGTACTCACATGCCATCAAGTGCTTTCAACATACAAGTTTAGGGTCAACCAACTACGTTGATAAAGAATATAGTATTGCTGCATACTTAAACACCTATAGTGGGCAGTTGCAGCCAGTGGATGTTGAGCATTATTGGCTGCCGGAACCATTTAAAATGGTGTGTAACAAGAAGTTTTTGCGTCAGCGGCAAGTGCAAAAAAGAACGCGTATACGGAACCAAATGGGTGTTGGTGATACCGTTTATGCACGCAAATATGGCATATACTCGCAAACAAGACACGACCGTGGTAAATGCCCTTCAGCTGGTTTGGGTGGCGGTGGTAATCCAACTCCTGGTGAAAGTTCATCTAATGTTCCCAACTATCAAGGATACACGTAGTGTTTTATTTCCGTAATATGGTTGTAATAAGAGTATGTACTTGGTTATCTTGCAGAATGTATGAAATAAAATTATATTTCCATTGCTGTTAAATCTTATTGATATTTAACATTAATACTTCAGTACAACAATCTAACATAAACCCATTTTTTTTAAAAAACAATTATCTTGTCGACCTGAAAAAGCTGCTCGCCTGCAAAAGCTATCTTTTGGAAAAGTTGTACTGTACCCGAAAGAATCTTTAACACACGAAGCATAGCGCGGTTAAATACTACGTTATGTGTGTTGTCATGTCGACCTGAAAAGGCTGCTCACCTGCAAAAGCTATCTTCTGAAAAAGCTTTATTGTACCCGAAAGAATCTTTAACACACGAAGCATAGCACGGTTAAATACTACGTTATGTGTGTTGTCTTGCCTATAAATAACTAGCGCATTTTAGTTATTACTTGCGCTTAACCAAAACAAATAACAAAACTTTTCATACATTTTTTATTTTTCTTGCATTAACAAATGTCTGGACGCAATGACCAACTAATGTGCTATTGTGGCAAACGTGCGATTATGAAGGCATGTTGGTCTGATGGTAATGTTGGGCGCAGATACTAGATGTGTCTATACAGGTTTGGAGGCAATGGCGAAAATCATTGTATGTTTGAGGAATGGTATGATGAACCCATTAACCAGGAATACTACAAATCAATTTTGCAGTATGTTTGGAATATGAACGCTGAATACCAATGCCAGATCTCTGAAATACAATGAGAAATTGCGGCATTGCAGTTGAAACTAAAAGAGGCGAAAGAAAAAAAAAATGGAAGAGAAATTTAAGTGGTTGGAGCAGAGAATAATAGGCGGTAGTGACTAAACAAACACATGTATATGTTGAGTGTAGTATTTTATCTTTAGGTTTTCCGTGTCATGTATTTTCATTAGTTGTACTGAATTTAAATTATATTAAGTTATGTTTGTGTTTGTGTTGTAGTATTAAAATAACGAAGAACCGGAGAAATAAAAACATAATGCGCATATAATGTAAACAATAAAAATTGTTCCAATTATTTACTGAATGTCATATGTACATAAAATATAAAAAAAATCAATGCGTCCAACATCCTGTATGCTTTAATGCAGCTGTTGGCCTGAGGCGCATCCCATCCCGCCACGCTACGCTATCAGGATCATCCTCATCACGTTGCCTCTTTATCGGAGGATGCGCTGCAGGATGATCGTCAGTAGGGCTGGCAGGCTCGGTAGAAGGGGTCGTCTGTCCAGCAATAACCTACAAAATAATAAGATATTTCAGTATATGAAAATATATATTTGTAATATACGTGTTAAGTCACAAAAATTAAAATTGTCTTACCATGGTCTCGTCGAGCTCCTAAATATAATCATCCGGCGCAGCCAGGTCAGTATCGCACAAAGTGGCCTCTGTGACGGGTGAGGATGAAGCCTTGATAAAAAAAAATATAAAGATATTTATGGCTAATCAATGAGATAAAAACAAATTTAAA